GAACATACCATCTTCGGAAAAGATGAAGAAACTTTCATTAACATAGTCGACGGTGATATGTTTGCCCAAAACTGTAGTAGTTTCGGTGTCAAAACCATCGTGTGTCGGAATGGTGAATGTGGGAGAAATAAGCGCTAACGCGCTGTTCTATTGCTCAAACTACTGGAACAAGTTAGTATCCCACAATTTGGGTAGTGACTAGTTAGATATCTATGAAAAAATACTCGTTCTCAAAGTATTGAACAAAATATCAGTTTGATCTTTATTCTAACACCAGCAGCTCGATGAGTAAAGTTGAAAGCATGCACCATATCACAAAATTCCTGGAAATCACAGCACAAACCGTCATGAGTATCGTCATAAATATGCTGCATCAGATTATGTACACGCGTGTCTAACCAATTTTTACATAGCTCATACCCTTGTCATTTACTATCTATCGATTTCATCTCGTTAGCGCTCAGCTTGAGTGCCATTCCCATCGCTTTGAGGATATTTTTTTTAGCGGAGGAGTTGTTTGACTGTATGAATTGTACAAAAATGTTGCGTAAGTACTCCATTTCACCACCAGTCGAAAGAAGGGAGAGTTTGTCTAAATGCAACAGATGAAACAACAAATTGTTACTCCTTGCCTGGAATGAACAGCACATAAAACTAGGAGTGTAATTAGCACCAACTCTGCAATTTTGTTATCTCTTCACTCATTGCCTCAGTCTTCTTGTGATGCTCAAGTTCTTTCACCAGTGCAGCTTGTTCAACTTCACGAAGCCGATAGTCAAGTTGATGCGAAACATTCCTAAACATCATCGTCGTATTTGAACTTTTTTCTGTTAAATCTGTGCCTCGCCTAACCAACCTCATCTCCTGGATTTCGCGCTCCTTCTTCAACAATTCTTCTTCGTAGAAGATATTTCGTGACTCGTTTGCCATGGGAATAGGAATTGAACTTCCATCTTAATTGTTCATTCCCACAAAACTCAGGTCATTACACTTCTGACGTTAAGTTAACATACCAACTACTGCTTCCACGCTGCTCACGGAAACTCCATCCATGCTCTTCCTAGACCCTAAAAAAATCAAAGCATTCTTCCACTCAATTGTATTAAGAGATGAAAAATTCAGACCTGTACTGTATCTCCTATCCCCATATCGTTTGTACTCGCTAGATCTCCTTTTAGAAACAGTTATCTTACCAGCCTGTGCTGGATCAGCTGGTGCGCTCATTTGTTCAGATCGAAGAGAAACAAGTATTGTTCTGACGAAAAAATACTTTATTGATAATCTGAGCTCATAATTCGAAGAAGTCCTCATAAGGCTTTTAATTTCCCAGATACCAAGAGTAACCAACCTGGCAGCCTCTAACTCCTTTTCTTTTTCAGCCATCACATCTATTGTACGGTTTCTCTGTTTTTGCATCTCGGCTTCCATTTCAGAAACTTAAACCAAACAAAAGAGCTAATAAAAGCTTGGAATATGAAGAAGGAAAAATATAGAGGACACTGACTTCTATTGTTCATCTCTCGCCTCATTTCAGCAACAAGTCGGCCCTCTCTCTGTTCTAATTCGGAAATTCTTGCATTCAAATCACATGCCGACTAAATGTGTAATAATAGCACATAAGGTGTCGAAGGCTTTGTGAACTGTAGATTCTGTTCTTAAAAAAGAAGAAAGGGAAGAATCTGCTTTCACGCGCGCGTCTGTCAGTGTGATGAAGAATGCTGAAAGCGCTAAGCATGACA